CGTTATTATACGAAGAGTAATCGGAAATATTTTAATTTTGGGGCAAAGGAAAATTCTGGAATGAAAACACTTTTCTTGTATTCAGAATATGTCAACTCAAATTCAGGGTAACCCGTCTGCCATCTGCCGAGCATTTCTTTTTTACAGCACATTTAAATAAATAACTTGAATAGTAAAAAATTTCAATGAAATGCCCGTAATTCAAATTTTAACTGAGAGATGGAAGAAAATGTCACTGTAAATTGATCAATGGATTTTTTGTTTGCTTCACAGAGAGTGATCAATCGAGGAAAAAACTGCAGCAACTGCTTTTTGCTTGATCAATTGAAGCTCTCCTTGTTTTCGGCGATCATTTGAATAAAAAAGAATTTTCGATTTTTTTTAGAGTACAGCTTCAATTTAAGATGTTGCAAAAGTTTCTAAGTGTAAAATTCGCGGAGTTTTTTTGCTTAAAAAGTTAGCGCATTGGGAATTTCGCCATAGGCAAAGCATGTTTTCTTTGCTGATTTTAATTTCTTTGTGAAAGCAAGTTTTTACTGCACAATGCGAGATTGTATTTGCTGATTGTGTGTGTGTTTGTTGTCTTCATGATACCTGTGATCAGAGACAATAATGAAGTCATCTTTTAACATCCAAGGAGAGAGGATGCTCCAGCTTCCTTTATTTTTGCAGTCATAATTTGCACTTTTAAAATTAAATTCCCTTGGAGGCTGGGTAACTGCATCAGCACTCAGGCGTCTCTTACAGCTGGAATGTTTTTAATGCAGCTTAAAATTGGTAATATCCAACTTTTTTCAGCTGCATCTTGTGCACCAAACTTGTTATCCTCCTTCTTGATTTAAAAAAAAAGCTTTAAAAAAAGACACAGAAAAGCAATACAGTAAATGTAGAATAAATCAGACCAAGTTTTCAAACCTTTTCTTTTCTCATCAAAGAACCTTGAACCAGTTTCTTTGTTTAAATGCGAGAAGTGAAGGTTCGTTAGGTGAAACAAAGTACCTTACGAATCTTTGGGCTCAACTAAGTTGCAGACTGTGAAAAGGAAACTTGGTGCTTACGTGGGCGTAAATGAATGGGTCTTGAAGGAGTCAAAAGCAATATTTTTGCCCTTGTCCTGATAAAACTCTGTATCTTTGATCCAGAAATTGCGTCGCAGCACTTCTGAATAAGCAATGAACTTCATCAAAAGAAGGCTCGTTCCTATTATAGAAGGAAATGAATAGAAACACATCAATCAGTAAATTTATTTAGTCCTTCTTCTTTGATCCAGAAATTGCGTCGCAGCACTTCTGAATAAGCAATGAACTTCATCAAAAGAAGGCTCGTTCCTATTATAGAAGGAAATGAATAGAAACACATCAATCAGTAAATTTATTTAGTCCTTCAAATTTTTTTTCCGCCATAACCTCGGCAGAGAAAAATCGGAAAGAAATTCGCTTCGCGTTAAATTATTGTACAAAAATGTTTTTCGTACATCTTCTGCCAAAGGTTTTTTTCATTTTCTTAAGAAAACATCAAAAACATTCATTTTTTCCAGTTCCGCGAGACTTGAATTTTAAAATTCATTTACGTAAAAACACGCCCCATTTCACGAATTTCTCAACGCACAAAAACAAATTTTCACACGCACCAGCAAGTAAGTAACTATAATTCGTCAGTGGATTTCGAAGTCAAATTGAAACTTTTTGTAAAAGAGTAAATTCATCCACGCGAAAAACGAAAAAAAAACATTGAACATCAAAGAAATTACTCGATCATTTTCAGACAAGATCATGAAACCGGGTGATGCGATACCAGATATTTTCAACTGCATTTTTTTTTAAACCGATGTATTAAGTTTGATTTATCACGCTTAATTGATGGAACCTTGAAGCTATTAGAGAATTAATAATATTCAACATAATATCTACCTAAAATCTGAAAGAGGAACCTGCTACAATCTCATCACTATTTTTATAGTTCATTATAAGGGGATTTTTGTAGCTTTGAGTTCTTTCAATGTGTTCCCCAACCTTCTTGGGCCCAAGGACTGCTGGCAAAGTTCTAAGAAATGTCTTGCAGGCCAGCAAATTCCCAAACATTTTCTGCGGACCAGCAATGTTTCAAAAAATGTTTGCAGACTCTGAACATTTTGGCTTGGAAGACTTTATAGCAGGCATTTATTGAAAAGTTTCTGCTTTTCTGCTAAAAATAAGTCAAGGACCAATTAAGCAGCTACAGTGGAATGTCTTCAAAAAATTACAATGGTTGGGTTATTGAAGAAAAGTGTTCTCAGAATGAAAACTTAAAATAATTTATCCAAGCTGGTGAAATTTTGTCAGGTAGGTGTTGAAAACCTTGGATGGCAGAGGGTTCCTGGCTGCCCTGAGGCAAAGTCAAGATTTTTTGGGGGGTGGTCCATCATTTCAGTTTGACCAAAGGTCACAGAAATGCTGGGCCCAAGTTGGGAAGGCCAAAGTTGAGAAAAATCTGGGAAGGGTGAATCCTTTTGTATTCCAAAATCTCTAATGCTAATCCTATGCAAGGAATTCTTGAAGAAAAAGCCACTCAGTGAGGAATTTATTCTTTATTTTTGAGGAAAATTTTTCTGCAGGATTATAAAAATTTTTTGGACTTTTCCCGCAATGTGTGCTTTGGTGCAAAAATCAAATTTTCTTCATTTTCAGTGCTCATTTGTACAAAATTTCACAAAAATATTCAAATTTTACCACACAAGGGTTAGGAGGAAAGCAACCTCTTATTTTTGATCAGTTATTTTAAACTGTCATTTCAAAATTACAGATAAAGGTAACTGACTTCATTCCTACTTTCAATCAATTTATTATGCAGCAGAAAATGTCCCAGAAACCTTTTTGCAGGCTATTGGTGCCAGTGTGCAGACCAAGCTGTTGGGGAACACCGCCTTGAATCATTCACCGGCAATTTTTTTTTTCAAAAATTCCATTGAGAAATAACAGGAGTAAAAAAGTTATCTTTTCAAAGAACAGAATCCTCCAGGTTCGAATTGCACAAAGGCAAAGACAGTCCAGAGGCAGATCCTTGAGAAATGTCTTGATGATGGGTCTCAAGAAACTTGAAATGCACTTCTGGATGAGATAAAGTGCGCTTGTTGTGCCTCACGCTCAGCCTGCAATTAATTATTCATTCAAATCCTGAAATTCCCCATTGAAAAATGCAATCAGCGTCAAGGCTGCTCCAAGATGTAAACAAAGTCTTAAGTGCACACAAGGAAAGAGCGAGATTTGATTTGCTGAAGCATTTTCTTTAAAAGGTTTTCTTAAGCATCTGAACAAAATAAATTTTGCGTTGAGATGAAATTAAACATGACCGACTGATGAAAGTTTGATGAAATTTTTTCTGAAAGGCAGAAGTATATAAGTGGATGCTCACAATTCTCACCTGGATGGCAAGGACCACATTTTGAACTTCTTGCCAAATTCTTCTCCCTCTTCAAGGGTTTGAGGCAGGTGGGCATTTAGGGTTTCAGGGAGAAAAATGGCCAATATTCCTCCAACCAAACTCAACGCGCCAAAGACAAGCAATGGCAAAACTCTGTGATGACGATTCTGAAAAGGACACGCCAATTTTTGTTTCAACACACATTTAAACACCTTCTACGTCCACATCATTCAATGATTTAAAAAAAATAATTGAGGGGTTTGAACATTCCAATTCTGGTCAAATTTTTTTTTGCGTCTCGCTTGGATCAAGTTTCAATTCTTCTGTTTCATACGCGAAAGACTAATATTTAATTTATCCTTATTTAATTATTCAATCTTTATTATTAGGTTTTGACTTGTTCAGGAGTGCATTTAAACTTTCATCGATCATGAGACGATTTTATTCATATAAGCTGCTGGAAAAGACAAACTTGTAAATATCTTGATTTTTAATGTTCTTTAAGAGAACCTTGGCTGAACCAGACTGATTGACATTTTCCCCCTCCACAACCAAACAGTAACTTTTTAAACTTTTTTTTTTCAAAAAATTGGGAGCAGCGCATTTTTAGAATTCCATGCTCGGATTGAAATTTTTTTGCCGAACTAAAAAAAAATTCTCAATTTCCAAAGAAAGGCATGAAAAATGTATATAGGTCATTATAAATGATCTAAGTATTCTTTCATGCTTCCACATTGCATAAAATTCAACTTAAAATTTACTTAAAGGATCTGTGGAATTTTTTCCCTCTGCAGAAAGTTTAGAAAGAAAACATGTTTTCGATTTCAAGTATCTCTGGCATTGAAGTAGCAAGATCAAAATTGATATTGAATTTTTTTCTGCCAAAAACACATATTTTAGAAATTTCGCAAAAAATATTTCTCACCAGCTCTACAATAAAGGGGAATGTGAGCAGCCCGATGCCAGCAGCAAAAGAAGCAATTCCCATGGCAGAGGATCTGACAACAGTTGGCAGCAGTTCTCCAGCAAACACATAAATTACTGCAAATGAGCCAGCAATGCAGAATTTGGTGATCATGGCTAGTGAAACCACTGTCCAAACATTTGCTGTAATAGAATAATAAAGCATTATTATATGTCATTAAACCAGCAGGTAAAACAAGCATATGGGGCAATTTTTCAGATACTGTACTCATTCAGACCCATAGTAAAATTTTCATTTAATTTTAGTTACCAGGGTAAAAGGTATAACAGATGAATTGGAAGTTGAATTTTTTGCCTTTTTAAGCCTGAAAAAACACTCAAATTGTATACTGATCCTGAAGTTTGAATCTTAGAATGTCAAACTCAAAATTCACTGAATCACTATGCTTTTCCATTCATTTCAAGGATACCATATGAGTGTTTGTAAATGATCAAACACTTTTCTAATAAAAGCTTGAGCAAAATCACTTTTCATACAATAAAATACTAGCATGACAACAATTCATCCCGGAATATCATTAGTTTCAGTATGCATAGACCCATATATTGTACTGAATAATGCTTTGATGCTAAATGGCTGCAGATTTCAAAGAGCATATGGAAACAGGCTGAAAACGTTGTGCTTCAATGTGTCCAGTAATTGCCTTGTGCTGCAACATTTTTCATTTTAAAGTAAGTAAATAAATTTGAAAATGGCGGTACATTCTGCAAGCATTTGAATGTACCATGATGTTCTTAATTTTAAGGCTCTATATATAGAGCCTTAAATTTATTTACTTACTTTAGAATGACAAATTTTGCAGCACAAGGCAATTACTGGACACATTTAAGCACAACGTTTTCAGCCTGTTTCCATATGCTATTTGATATTCCACAGTTTCAATTGTTAGAAGGAATTTCTGAACTATGTTAAAGGCCAAGAGGGGGGAATATAAATTATCAACAAGATGAAAAAAAACAGGGGAAACATCAGTCAAAAATAGTGGAAAATTTTGATTTCCAACAGCTTTTTGGAAATGAGACAGGAATGCATAAAAAAAGGCTTATGGGAAAGGGCTTCTTGGCTGATGGTTTAAAACTAGATTATTGTGGAAATAATTATTTGGATCAATAAAATTCTCATAATTTTAAAAAACCCCTCCTGTCTTCAACTCATTCACTATTAGAGGCCAGCTATTATTCCCTTGAACCCTATTTGAGACCTGGCACTGGTATCTATCAAAGGCCCAGCATTTATTTGAGCATTTACAATACCCATATATAGTGATTTATTTTTTATACATCAGAATCTGTTGAATAGATGTGTAGGGGTGACGTGGAATTTTTTTTAAACCTTGTGAATGCTGACAATTGGAAAATAAAACTTGTGTAGCAATCAATCAACAAAACCACAATATACCTTCTGGAACAAACATGCAAAGCAGGCAGGATATCCCTCCAAGGATCATTGTGATTGACAGAACCCATCTTCTGCCAAAGGAGTCCATGGCATACCAATGCACAATGTATGATGGTATCTCCACAGTGGCTCCAATGAAGAAGGCCAAAGCAGGAGACACTCCCAAGTTGCTCGAGTTGTATGAGAGTCCATTGTAAACCACTGCATTTGATAACCAGGCAACCATGATGATGACAAACTTCTTCCTGATGTTTGGGTAACCTCTGATCAAAGCTACTGGACTGTCATTTGGAATTGTGGTCTTCAGTGTCCTGGTATTTTTGGATAATGTTGGTGAGCCACTGGATTCCTCAGCCGAATTCTTCCTTGGAAAAAGGTTCTGATCTATTTTCTTGGCTTCAATTCCATGCATACTATATTTTCTCTGATAAATAAATGCCTCATCTCCAGCAATAGAGACCTGCCTCTAAGAAAGGCTGGGTGTCAGAAAAGCTTGAAGTAAATGTACTAGCCAGTCTCTAATAGTACTGTAGCTAGGTCAAAGAAGGAGGGGGTTGAAAGAATTCTGAAAATTCTCTTAATCTAAACATATGGATGTATTAACCCTCTGACGGTGGAGGGTTCTTTTTTAAGGGTAGGATTTTTTGGGGGGCAGTGCATTTCAGTTTGACCCAAGGTCACTCTGAAATGCTCCCAGGTTGAGAAGGCCAAAATCGGGAATTTCCAGGAGGCAAATTTTCTATTGTTTTTGGGATTCTCTCATGCAAATCCTAAGACAGGAATGCAGGAAAAAATTCCACCGATGAGGAATTTTTTTCTTTTCATTCAAAATGTTCTGCAGGATTATAAAAAATAGGAATTTTTACCAACTTAGGTCATGGTACAAAAGTAGGATATTTAAATTTCCAGTGCTCAGTGGAACAACAATTTTCAGAAATATTCCAACTTTATACTACACAAGAGTTACGAGTGTTGAAGAAAGAAACCATTCCCCAGTATCAATTTTAATAAAGCACTCCTCTCTCATTTTCCATGAAAAATTTGCGAAGAGTTCATTTTCATATTTAGCACCTGAGTTTATCCCATTTCTCTTTTGTTTTTGCTTTTTATATCATTAGGCAATCTTGACTTGAAAATAAGCACCATTCTCTTTCATAAGCCAGTCTCTAATAAATGCTGGGAGAAAAAGAGAATATTTTGAATAAGTGCTGGCAGCGTTTATTAGACAGTATAAGGTAATGCATCTATAGTTGTGAGGAATCCGACATTTTCATATCTTTCTTTTCTCTGGGAGGGAAAAATGAGGGCATTCGAACTGTATACTGGAGTTGGGGAGATACGCAGTGTTACCAATGCGTTGTGGTGGTTGCTGTGCACGGAAACCATGGACTTGAGGTATCCAGGAGGAATGGGAACCTTGTTGACCTTTGCCATTTTTTGCACGATCTCTTCAGCCTCTTCAATCCTGTTCTGAGTCAAAAGCCACCTGGGGCTTTCGGGGATAATCCACCAATACCTTTTCAAAAGAAAGAGTCGGAAGCTTTTTCAATCAAGTCTTCCAAATGAGAATACGGAAATCCAGACAAAATCTCTCGGAAATATCCTTTATGTATACACACAGCCCTTATTTCTCGATTTTATTCCGTTCCTCTCGTTCGAAAAAGAAACCTCTGTAAGTTTTTTTTTTCATGTTGGAGATTAACTTCAGGAAGAACTCAATTACGATGTAATAGTTGGAACAGACGCATTTTCAGTCGGTTATATTTAAGGATTTTGAAGTTATATCTCAAGTAACTCCGAAAGTGACGTTGAAATAAGTTCCTGAATGAAGGTATATGACCTGATTTGTGTTGGTGAATTAGAGAAATTTATTTTCCAGAATAATTTTTAAAGGTGTTTATTGTTGACGGTTTATTATCTGCAGGAGTAAGTTACCCGTTCTCTCACGGAAAAGATTAAATAATGATTTTCATATTTCCCCCTTGTCAAGTGGAGCTCTAATGTTTACACAAAGTTTAGCAGAGAAAAATTAATATAGAAAATGTAACTAAAAGAAAAGTTGGAGCCGAACATTTTTCAGTCCATGCGAGGGGATTTAAATGTGTAAATTTTTATGGAATTTCCAGGTATTCACTGGAAATTCAAATTATAGAGATTAACTTAACAAGGTTAACGAAAACTTGTACTGACAGTCACTATAGTAAATTGCCTTTCTTCTTCAAGTCGTGAGGAATTTGCATGTAATCGATTGATTTCCTTCGAATTTCAGATTTTAAGAAAAAGAATCTCTAACTATCATAGATACGCGTAAGAAAATTATGTTTTATATTTATTCGCTCAATGAAAAATAATTTGCATTTTTGATTTATTCCGGATGAATAATAATGCAGACGAGTGAAAAGCATTCTCTTCGCTACGAAGATTCGGGCATTAAAAAAACATAATTAACTACGAACTATTTGCTTCGGTATTTTCGACTTGGTGAGGTCGAACTTTCATCCATGCTATAAAAAAATAACAGCGCTACCTAAAAGCAATATATACATAATTTTTTTTATAATTCTGTTTTCAATTTAATGTTTCAAAGGTTAGATCAAAGGACTCACGCAAACAGGATAAAAAATGGGGCAGACGTGATCAGAGTGAGTTTGAACCAGTCTCTTAGAAGATAAGACAGCACTGCCAAAATGGCCATGGCTGCTGCAAAGAAAATGCAAATGACCATCCCTGCATAAGTCCTTGCTGAGGGCCCCATCATCTCCATCGCTGAAAAAAAGGGAGATACATACGTTCACGAAATGATGGAATAAATCGTTTCAATTTCCAATTTTTTTTTCAAATACCCAGGATGAAAGGGATCTGGAAATCAGCAGGAAAAGTCAGCCCAACCAGAGTTCTCAACACTGTGTACATGGCGTACGACGAAGAAAATGCCGTGAGGGTTGAAAGGGTTACTTGGCAACCAATGATGATGAAGAACGCGGTTCTTCTGCCCATTCTGTTTCATCAACGACGGGTTTCGTAATTACTTTTTTGTTTCGACCCGAATGATGTTTCTCTTTATTATGGAGAATGTAAATGAGACATTTACCTGTCCGCGATTCTACCGAAGATCAGATTTCCGATCAGGCTTCCGACATAGAAAAATGTGCTGGCAGTCGTCACCAACCATTCGTTGTCACAAACTACATCAAGCTAGCGAACAGGAAAAAAAAACATGAAAAAGCCAGGCCAGACAAGTTTAAATGACTGCTTCGCTTCGATGATAAACCAAGCAGTTACAATTTTCTTGAAATTTTCAGTGTTTCATTACGATCTTTCAACGCGTGGAATGCACTACATATAAAAGTTAAGTTTCCATGGCATAAAATTTGCGTAGAAATTGGACATTAAAAATTGTATCCAGAAAAGTGTTGCCGTAGGTAAATAAATAGTGATGAGTCTTTGAAAACTTCGGGAATAAATTCGTTGGTCTCATATTCGATTTACGAGTGCATGGAACTATTTCCGGCAAAATGTTTTAAATTTAAACTGTATCTAAAATTTTAAATTGAATGAAATAATATTGTTAATTTTAAGTTTGAAGGCAAAAAGTTTAATTTTTGGCTTCCGAATAAAGTTTTTGAAAAGATGAAGCTGGTTGACTTCAGTATAAGTCAAACCAACAGGATACAGGCAATTTGAGACTGGAAAATTTGAGAAAGGGCCAATTTTGTATAGAGTCAACTTGAAAAATGGCCAAATTGAGACAGGGGCAATTACAGACAGGGCCCTTTATAGACAGCAAGAATAAGATGCATCCTTCACACACATCTTCACAGTGCTTTTCTTTTTAGCATATTTATTTCAAGCTCTGTACTTAGAACTTATAAATCATATCATGTTTTTCATCACATATGGAATGGGATTTTTTTAAATTATATCAAGAGAGGAATTAAAGCAAGGAAAAGTTGGCTTTTTCAAAACCTCTCAGATATCAGAGTCACATATCAAACATAACCCCAGAAAATTCATTTTCCACTCACATACAAGCATAAACTGCTTCCATTTTTAAAAGTATTTCTCCCATTTAACCCAAATTGCTTTTTGATGGTAGTCCAAATGTTTCTGGCTCTATTGGTCTCTGACTCAAGAATCTTCAAAAATTTTTGAATGGCCTCTGTCTCACGAAAGTGTCTGGAACCCCAGCAAAACCATTTCACATCCCAAAATGCATCATTCACATGTGCTTTTGAGGTTTATATTCACTTTTCAAAAGTTGTGACCAGCAGTGTACCATGAAAATGATGCAGAAATGGACGTGTTCCCAAAGAATGCAAGGTTGATGCAATATTTGAAGAACATGCTGCACTCTCATCCATTTGGGATGCAAGTTTGATGCAAAAATTGCTGACATGTAATTGACAAATTGACCAATGGACTCAGTATTTTTTTAATAAGTTCATGGAAGTGAGGCATGCATGCAGCGCAGCAGCAGTAAACTCAACAATGTGCATGTATAGGGTAAAATTTTGAGTAAATTTAACTATAGAATTGCCAACATTTACTGCTGTCCTGCAGTATCTGTATATGGTCTATCTGTTCCTGCAATACCATACATGAGAAGGCTATATATAGCCTTCTCATGTATCAAATGAGTTTCTGCATTATAATCAATCCTATCCAGGCATAACTTGAGTTACCCCTGGATAAATACCTAGCTGTAACTAGAGGGCGTTTCAGAACACCTATCTGTTATTATTACGCATTATTCAAAATCCCAAGTAGGCGTAACATAGAGAAGCTTGAAATGCGTAGCATTGTGGGCTAGAAACGCATTTAAAATGCATTTCAAAACGCCAAATTATTTGCTGGGTAGTTAGACTGGATATAGATAGATAGACTACTGTCTCTGTCTCAAATTGTCCCCGTCTCAAATGACCCACTGAACCCTAAACCAATGGAATTATTTCTTTTACACGAGAAACTCAACATGAACAGAAGCGCATTTCCAATTTGCAACCAAAGCTCTTTTCAATTCTTTTCTGGCCCAGAAAATGTGTCTCACATGCGATAATTGGTATTTTATACTTGAGCTAAAAACTAAAATAATAAATTACAGCACACACACACACGCACAGAAAAAAGAAGAAACTCACGTCAGTCACGAGTGTACGGTCATAGTCAGTGTGATCATACTTCGTATAGCCCCAGGGTGTTTTCAGCCGCCTTTGCTGCTGGATTACACAATTTTGATCATGAATGAGACGGGATGATGGGATTTTGTTTCCATTTGCTGGCAAGAAACGGGAAACTGTATTTGTTTTTGGGAATAAATTCCAGACAAGATAGAATGTTCAGAGTTGAGTAGATATTTAGACGTTTTTGAGTTTAGAAAGTTTAGAGAAAGAAAATAAAACGATGAAATTCAGTCAGGCTGCAACCAGGGTGAGATTTTACCCTATTTTAAAGTTGTTGTACTTTCAAAAATGTACACAGATATTTGCGAAAATTCCTTGAGTGTCACACATGAGAGCTCAGGCAGAAGTGAAGTTTGCATGCAGGTTTGGGAAACAGGAAAACTGTCCTTCAAGGAAAAAAAATAGCAACTGTATTTTAGCACTAAAAGGATTTTATTGAGAATTCAGGTTTTCAGATTTTGTGTGACAAATTGACTACAGCCATCTATTTTTTGCAACAGTATTGAAGTAAAACTGATGAAATTTCCCAAGTGCGAAATTGGGGGGGGGGGGGGTGTTACTCACAAAATTGTTGACAGATGAAAAAAAAATCTGCAAAAAGCTTTCTTTTTCAGTTTTCATCCACAGAAATACTTGTTAACTGGTGGTCTGCTGGAGGTAAAGATGTTTTCTATCTGTATATATACTGTAGTTATTTAAGGTTTTTGGACTTATTGTGCCACTTTTCTCAGCTACAATTCTGATGACTTTGGTTGACAGTATTTGGCACTTATCCATACCATTTGAAGACAAACTTTCGAGGGTTATGGACACCATGATAAATCTAGCCAAAGTAGCTCCCTTCAAATTGATATGCAAACAAATAATGTAAAAGGAATTTATGTACTGTATAGTAAGCTTCATCTTATCTTAATCAGTATTGAGATACTGTAATCCGACTTTCAAGTATAGGTGAAATATTGTCCCAATCAACTTGACCCAGAAAACAGGCATTCAAAAGCAAAATTCATTCCTTCGAGATGCACTTGTTAGACTGTGGAATTTTTTAGACTTGGAATCTTATTCTTGCAAATTCAAGCACTTTTGGCCAAATTATATGGCATTTAAATGCTAATTTTCCTTGCTTGATAAATTAGCAAAAAATGACGGATACAGAATTCTTAGACGAAGAAAACGAGGGACTGAAATAACAAACATGTTTTGCGAAACTTTATTTTTGTCGAAGAAAGGCAGGTTTTCCTGTTCACCTTTCATCAAGTCCAAACAAAAGAGAAAACGCGGATGAAGTTTCGACATTTCTACAACTGGAAACTTGCGAATTGCGAATTCCAAAATAACCTTATTTTTTGCCACAAGAAAGGCTTGAATGCAACTTTTGAGTCTCGCCGTTTATCAAATCCAAACAAAAGAAAAAAAGTAGGAAGAAGTTTCAACATTCCTACTACCCAGAATTCGCGAAAAGTTTAGAGCTTCGAACTTGTGAGGATTGCTTCAATTTAATACGAATAAATTTTAAATTCACAATTTACTGGCTCTTAGATTTTGCATTTCATCATTCAACCTTGCGGCACAGCAAGAAAAACCAGCGAGTACGTGACACTGTTTACATTGCAAATCATTCATATCAACCTTTTGATAAATTCTTAATGCTGCTTTCCGAGGGATAAACTATGTAAGACCATGTCTGGAGGTCTGATATTGTCAGATATGCATCTTCTCTACAGTCTTTATGCTTCATGAATAAACTAATCGTCAAGATACTACATACGAAACATGACTTCACTACTTTCATAGTATACTGTACAAAATGTATCTTCACTTCGACAGTCGCGTATGGCATAGTTTACCAATAATTCCAGCATGAGGGAACAGGTTTCCACTTGGTTTGACAGAGTTTGACGAGTCGTACGGGGACTTTAGACGGTAATTAAGAAAAAAAACAATCGACAGGCACAAATGTGCCATAAAACGTTTTTGGGTGATCGTAAAATTAAGATGCACAATATTAGAAATCACTTGAATCTTACTAGAATGGAAAATATGCTCCCATACCAAACGTGAAGTAGAAAAAAAATATTGCGTGCATTGGCATTGTTTTTTTTTGTAAGAAACCAATGAATATACAGCCACGTTGAGCTGAATGGCTCTGAATATTAAAGTCAAACATAAAACCAGAAATCTAAAACAAGTCACAACAGTTTGCACCATATACTGTATGAGAAATTCATGGCATTGAAATCAGTCGTATGGTCACGTAAAAATACATTTGAGGTTTAAAAAAAAAACCATAAAGCTTAATTGCTGAAATAATTTCCTTAATAGACTATACCGTTGTATTTCATCGTGAAGTGTAAGATATATTTTTTTCATAATTTGCAGATCATTTTTCTTTCGGTGCTCAAGTGAGCGTACATGAATCCTATTATTACGATGTAATGAGTTTGAAAGTTTTGCGAGGATTTCTGGTTTTTAGAAGGTATTGAAATTTTTTTTTTGAGTTTCAAGCACTTTTACCTAATTACTTCTGCGTAATGTAAACCATGTGCATGCCACAGGTATAATTGAAATGTGTCTGCTAATATTATCACACAATATTGTACCTCACGCTAAATCTTTTACATAGCGGATAAAAAGTAATGCAGAAATGTCAACTTGGGAGTAACTGATAATTTATTCATTTTAAAAATCTAAGAAAACAATCTATTTTATTTCAAAGAAACGCAAATAGAACAAGAAGCAATGCAGAAGAGTCAACTCATGAGTAACTGATAATTTACTCATTTTAAATTCATAGAGCATTAAGTAAAAACAATGTAGAAATGGCAACTCATGAGTAACTGATGATCCATTCATTTTAAAAACAATATAAAAATACGTCTGCAATATTTCATTTTGAAAAGAACGCGAATATACAGGAAGAAGCAATATAGAAGTGGATGCTGTCAACCCATGAGTAACCGCTAATTTATTTATTTTCTTAATAAAAAAGCATTTAAAAAAAAAAGAAACGCAACGAATCTTCTGCCAGGATCTGGTCAACTTTTAAAAACAAACCTAGATCTCAGTTGTTGTTTTTTTTTACTTGAAATTTAAATGAAGCCTCCTCGGATGCTTTAATGAAAATGAAGATTCAAATTTTCAATTTAAAATAGCAACAGCAAAAAAGGAGGTGTCTAAAATAAAATTTAAAAAATGAGGAGAGATGACTGGCCTGGATGAAGGCTAGCCAGGCAGCAGGCAGAGTAGCCGGGATGCACAACAAGTAGTAGATGTACAACTGGTAGCTGCCCCTTTCGCCGATATGTTTAAGCACTNCTGGTAGCTGCCCCTTTCGCCGATATGTTTAAGCACTTTGTCAAAGTCCAGTTCGGCGACCGAGACCGCCGCCGCGGGGGACTCGTCGTCGTTCGCTGCCTCCGGCGCCTCTGCCGCCGCCACCGCCGCCGCCTTGGTTCTCCGTGTGCCATCCTGCATTATTAAGACCGCCCGCTGAATTCCGTGCAATTCTGCTGCTTCGTCTGTTGGGGCATGTCTGCCAGCATTCACTTATTGCACATATCGGCTTTCTATGCGTAATTATATCCTGTCTATTTCTGCACGTTTCTCTCTTTCTTCTGCCTTTTCTGTCTCGACCGCAAAATTATTTTTTCGCCGATTTTGAAGACACACCGACGAGACGCGATTACGCAGCGAATTTTTTTTGCTGATTCATCTTCCGTCGCTTTCTCTCAGTGCTGGTTTCTTTGCCCTGAAAAAGTCTGAAAGGAAATTAAAATGAGTACTACGATAATAGATTCGTCGCGACGCAGTCTGTGAGGAATATGGATCAGATAAAGGAATAGTTTGTGCACTGAAAACATGACATATACATTCGATCAAGTACGCAATTATATTTTAGGCTGCAAACGTAGCTTATTTTAGTGGTACTCCAGACTTATTAGGAGCTTGGGCACCTAAAAATGAATATTTTTTCAATTATAAAAATATATTTCCCGAAACTAAGTTAGAAAAAGGTAGGATTAAATGATGAATAGCAGAACATAACTCTCAGCTGGTATTTCTCTTTTAGTAATCGAAGACCACAAATACTTGTCTTAAATTTATGCAGGAAAAATTTACATGGGTTAATTGGACTTTCATTGCAGAAGAATGCTCAAATTTAACCAAATTTAGATCGTGTCCATATTTATGAATTTATATTCCCAATGTTTTTTTTTTTTTTTCAAGAATTGGGATGACCTAATTTCAAGTACCAAATTTTGCGGCTTAAATGCGTAGAATCAAGAAAAACTTCCGTCCTATAGTTGCGAGGCTTCCAAATATCTTCAGATCTTTTGAATTTACGTAGACATTTGATGGAAAAATCCGATTTTTGGGATTTC